TGCACACGAGCTGATGCAAAGGCCATGAGAGCACAGACACAGCTGGGTGGTTAAAGGTGAGCCCTGCTCATGATGTGTCAGACCAGCAATCTCTTTGCCACAAAAATTATTGATTTTACTGGAAACTGAATCCACAGAAGGGTCAGACTGAATGAGAGCTTCCCTAAGTCTCCTGGCATAAATTAACCCACACCTCAGCAAAGCACAAACAAGTTCTGAAAGGTGAAGTTCTCACAGATTTTGTGTAGATGTATCTTCACCAGATGAACCTCTACTTTATAGAATAATATACAGATAACCTGAAGAAAGCCAGCACAGAAGTGCTTGACTACCCTGATGCAGAACACTCTTACAAAAGGAGTGTTTTCTCATCAGCAAAGTATATTTTCACAGGTTGGGCTGATCACAAGTTACTAATGATCCCAGATCCATGGAAAATACCACCCGAGAACCTGAGAAAGATTCATGTCCATCATCCACTCCCTTGGCTGTCCCTGGGCACAGAATGATTCAGAATAAAGCCTTGGGTCCTACCATCCTCCAACTCAGTAACACCCAAGCCCAACTGTCAATTTTAAAGGCATATCCCAAAAGTTAATCACAGCAAACACGGTGATAACCTGAGATACAGCAAACCCACTGATCATTATGGAAGTGATGCTGGGAGCCAAGTGAAGCTGCCAGTTCTTGGAGAAGAGGCAGGAGGGTGAGCTGGCAGGGGGAGGCCACTGCAGAGGACTCTTAGGAAGCAGCAGGTCACTGTCACACAAAGGAGCCCACTCAGAAGCGGTGCTTAGGGATCCCTGTGAATATTATTGCCTTTGTCTGTCTCTTACTTTATTTCCAAATGATATCTTATATTGCCCTCATTTAGCCATCCATCTCAACGAGAGGGTTTGAAGAAGCAAAGTCCCAGCCATGTATTTCTCTCACTCTGCACATACCAAAACCAGAGCAAAAGTGTGTAGCTTCTTAGATTAACAAGCCTACATAACTGCCTGGATATTCACTGACAACTTTTTGTCCCCTTTTAGAAGACAAATATCCAAAGGCAAATTTATTCCTGATGTATTTCAAATGTGACAAAAACAAAATACTACTTTCAGGTTTAGCATTCAGCTGACAAGGTACTACCCATTACCTCAGCAACACCTCACACCCTAAATCAACTCTTGTCCCACACTTCACTGTGCCAGTTGTCCCCTCACTCCTGAAGACAGTTCTATTTTCTGTTTGTATGTTAAGCAACTAAAATTTTTTATCTTCCATAAGATATTAATCCTTATATTGTCCTAATATGTTTCTACCGCTCATGCAGAAATCAGATAAGAACAGTACCAGCAAGCTTCACAATAAACCATCATATACACTATTTTAGTTTGTCAAAACAATTAGTGTTCATTTTGGCTTTATTCAGTTAAATCTGCAGTGACTGATCAGTATAAATTATGTATTAGGCTGCCCAGCTGTACTTGTTTATTCATGCATGGACTTGAAGAATTTTCATTTTCTCAGTACAAAAAAGCAGCAGCCAAAAAATCCCCCTGTATTCTAAAATATAAAGACACTTTCTTCTCAGCCACATTTCTGCTACATGTTTTTGAAGCTGCTTTCTTCTTTGCCTGATTATTTCAATTAACCTATTATTTCATTTGCAGTTATCAGCAGCTGCATTTGCATCGGTGGGAAGCACATACTGTTACCTTCACCCCTTGCAATTACCTCCCGAGCAAAGCAGTATCAGAGCTAAACCAAATGATGCTGCTTTTAAAAGCATCAAAAATCACATTGTTGGCTGCATTTGAACTCCTGCCTCACTTCAAGAAGAACTGCTTGCAGAAATGTTTACAGTTAAGCCTCACAGTCCTCTCTTTCAAGAACAAAAGTTTGTGAATCGAGAGAGATCATTTTCCCGTTTTGCTCGTGTTGGTAGTCACACACTCCTCGCTAGGACGACTGGGTGAAGGGAAGGCACGTTGTGGGGGTGGGTGGGATGATATGCTGTATGCAGGGAGAGAGATGACACACATTTAGAGAAAGAAAGATCTGTAGTGACCATGTACAGCATCAGTTGCACCTCTCTGAGACATGGTGTATGTGCAGAATGGAAATTGGGTTGGTGAAGCTGATTCCCTGCAATGACAAAAACGGCAAATTGCACACTCCAACCCAAAGCTACCCTCTGCCAAGCCGGGTTCAGGCACTTGTTAACAGAAGGTTTATGCCAATATTTACAAATCACAGAAAGATGTTTTGGCAGCTTTGACATGCAGAGTATGGTTGCTCAGTGATGGACAGGCAGAGTGAATGGTGGCAGTGCTCAGAACACAAAGAGACAGACTTTGTGTCCTCCTAAAGAGCTGGGGAGCACAGCAGAACTTGTATTTGCTAACTGGAATGCCATTCACTCTCCTAGGTTGTAAGGGCAATTAAAGGGGTCATCTGCATGGCTCTTGAGCATGTCTAGAAAAAAGTATGCTGCTGAAACATCTCTGTAGGGCAGAGTGCTGTAAGTGGAGAGAGCTAGACTGGGAAAGGCCACTTCCCAAAGCTTAGCTCAGCTACAACGTACCTGACAGGTAACAGAATTGCTTTCACATTGATCGTGCATGATAAAGATTGGGAAATGCAATGTTTGTATTGATCTGGATGATCTCTGTTATAAAAATGCTTTTTTGTAGAGTGAATCCTGCCCCAGTTTTAGTGCTTCAGCAAGGACAAGAGCCCTGCATGCAACCTGCCAGCACAAACACACTGCCAGCGACAGCTCCTTTGGGCTCTGAGCCGCAGGCAGGATGAGCACACAGCTACTCTTGTTGTTTCTTCCATCAAATAACATACAAAGTGCTCTGATGAAAAGACTAAATTTTGCTGAATTAAGTGCTTTAGAACAAGTGGTTTTATTACTTTATAATTAGCATAATTTTCCCCATAGGGATTCTTGCAATTAAATAATTAGCAGTAATGTTACCCAAAAGTGTTCCTTAATGAATGTTAAGTTATTGCCCCTGTTAACGACAACTGACATGGCTCGGGTTTACAGCGCTCCGTCTCGCCAGGCTGCGGGCGAAACAGAGGGCTGTGACAGCCGGCCCTGAGCTCCGGGCCCCTCCGCTCAGCCCGGCGGGGCGGACGCGGCTCGGGCGGTTCGCGTCGCTCCGGCCCCGCGGGCAGCGCCGCGGCCCCGACGGCGCGGGCAGCCCGCTCCGCACCCTGCGGACCCGCGGGCGCGCAGCTCCACAAAGGGCCGGCGGGGCCGCGCACCGCGGGGCCGTCGCGGCTGCGCTCGCTGGCTGCCGGCGGAGCGCCGCCCGCACGGGCAGGGCAGGGCAGGGCAGGGCAGGGCAGGGCTGGGGCCGCCCCGCTCGGGGTGCGCAGGGGAGCGGCCCCCGGGCCGGGCCGGGCCGGGCCGGCGCGCATCGCTCGCGGATCGGCAGCGCCACCCGTCGGGGAGCGGGGCGGAGGCGGAGCGGAGCGGCTCCGGCGGGGCGGGCACGGACACGGACACGGACACGGACACGGGCAAGGCTGCCAGGGCTGCCCACCGGCTCCGCGGGACACGGCCCCGGCGTGTTCGGGACAAGTGCCGCCGGGCCGCCCCGGGTCGCATTTTTACTTGGTTTTCTTTTTCTTTATTAATTGCTTCTGGCAGGACATCGCGCCCTGTCCGGCCCGGGAGCGCCGCGGGAGCTCCAAGCTCTTGGGGGGGAAATCCCGGTTTACCTCCCGGTGATACCGCCTTAAAGGCAAATTCGCAATATGTAAGTCCCTGATTAAACAAGGGCATTTCCATTTGTTAATTGATGCAATTACGCCGTGGCGGTAGCGGACCGGCCGGGCTGCAGGAAACCATCCATACATCACCGCCCCGCCGGAGGGACCATCACGGGGCTAAGGGGGAACAAGGGGCTCGGCACTCCTTAGAGAATGGGCTCCGGGCTGCTCTGCGGCCCGTGCTCTGGCCCGGCCCCGGCCCTGCCCAGGCAGGCAGCGCACGCTCTGCGGGGCGAGGTCTGACCCCGCTCCCGCAGCTCCGGGCCGCCGCGACGGGCAGCGACGCCGAGGCGGGGAGCACGGCTCGGCGGCTGCCGTGCAGAACCGGGGCCGAGCTGTACAGCAGCGCCCGGCCCTGGGGATGCGCGCGAGGTCAGCGAAGAGGGCCGGGGGGCTGCGTCGGCCGAGCCCACCTCGAGAGCTGCTGCCCTGGGTGCGCCCGGCACCGCCGCTGCCACCGCGACCCCTGCCCGGCGCTCTCCTCCCCGCGGCGGGCCCGTAGCAGGGGTCATGCTGGGGCTGGTGGTGTCCCCACTTGATATTTATTCCCCTAAGACAAATTTTGATCGTGTTTAAAAATAAAGGGAAAAAAGACCAACCGCAAGGCACCCCCAGTCCCGCCTTTGACGTGCATCAGAGCACAACATGAAACCAAGATGAAACAAGTGCTGGGAGCGGGCGCGGGGCGCTGCCTGCTCCTGCCCGCCGCTGCCTGCTGCTGCCGGCAGGGCCGTGACGTCACCCCGCTCCTCGCCCACCGATGAACGCTAAAGACCTATAGAGCAGAAAATAATACAAGCAAGCTCCGTATCTTGCAAGCCCTACGTGATTTTCCCCCCCTCTTTGAAAAAGCCCCCTTGCACTTAAACTCTCTATACATGTGGGGTGGCTTTTTAGACTCCCTCTATACAAACATATTTATTAAGAGCGATGGGAAGTGGGGGGTAGCCTATTTTTTTAATCCAGGCACCAACCTCCTTCCTCCCTCNGGAAAGTGGCAAGTATTCAATGTGCATCCAGCATGGCAGAAGCATCATGTGTTTGTGGCCCTATCTTCTTTGCAGAATAAATCTCACAGCCATTGTGAAGACACTGATAATTGAAAAAAAAAAAAAAAAGCCATACGTGGAAATGTGTGTGTGAGAAGGTGCATCTTGAAGCAGGGTTTAGTTACAATCGATCTTGGGGGGAAAATATTGCCTATGGTCCAAAAATAAGGAGCAACTATGTCCTTCTCTCAGTTCGGATACCCCTACAGCACCACTTCACAGGTAAGGCGAGTGAGCAGCACTCACTTTTGTTTAGATTCTGCTGCTGCTGTCCAGATGTCTTGTCCCCCCTCCTTTTTTTTCTTCCCTTTCCCTTACTTAGAATATATTTTAAAAGGGCACATCTGGAGCCTTTTTTAAAAAACGTACGTGTGTGTTTATGTCTCGTTTGTGTTGTGTTAGGCTTAAACAAATAACTCGCAGTGTGCACAGCAAAGGCGTGTAGGAAACCGGTAATTCCCCTTCCTCCCCACCCTTCACCGTTCAGTTTTAAGTGCAACAAACAAATAAAAACATAAATCCCAGCTACAACCGCTTACCGAGCCCGCGGAGCGGCCGCGCTGCGCCGGGCGCAGCCCCCGCCGCACCGCTGCCGCCGGGCACCGCGCAGGGCGTGCGGGCAGCGGGAACCGGCGCTCGGCGGGCTCGGGGTTCACTCGCGTTTCTGCGGAACCGGGCTGTTCCGTTTCCTCCCTCTTTCCTCCACGGGTCGGTCCTTTTCCTGTGTTTTATTAGGATCTGTCCAGAGTTTTTTTTTTTTTTTTTTTTTCATGCGATTTCCGAAGGACATCCCCCACTCACACCAAGGCACCCTGTATTAACTAAGTCGTAGTTATATCGTACTTCGAGTCACGATTTATTTGGGTAGAATTATTTATACACGGTAATCACTGCAAGATGTGCCTCCCTCGCTTGGGAAGTTAGCTGTCCCCTTGAAGTTATTGAAATCAAATGCCTTCGATTGCGTTGGCTGACATATTTACTGCTGTGTCTATTGTCAAATTAACTGTAATCGCAACTTTTTGCCTTTAAATCAATGCAGATGGACCGAGCGGGGGCGGGAAGGACGGAGCCTTACGGATCTTATACCTTTTTCGAGAGCAATTATTTCCTTAAAGTTTTGCTTTGATTAATCGTGCCCCCTTCCCAAGAGCTCCTGCTTCCCATCCGGTTTATTTCCCGGTTTCTATAATTAGTTGCTTCAGCCCGCGTTTCCTATCCCCCTCCTCACCGCCGCCCCCCCACTCCGCACACACACGGGCGCGCACACGCTCCTAAATTCCCCGCGATGGGGCTGCCTCGACAGTCACTCGGCGCCGTCCCGCTCTCTCCTCTCCGCAGTTCTTCGTGCCCGCCAGCCCCAGCACGACCTGCTGCGAGGCCGCCCCCCGCTCCGGGCCGGATGCCTCCTCGGCGCCGGCCGCCGCCTCCCTGTGCTGCGCCCCGTACGAGAGCCGGCTGCTGGCGCCCGGCCGCGCCGAGCTCAATGCCGCGCTGGGCATGTACAGCGCCCCGTACGCCGCCGGCCAGGGCTACGGCAACTACCTGCCCTACGGCGCCGAGCCCGCCGCGCTCTACACCGCGCTGGTGAGTGCCCGGAGCGCTCCGGAGGGGAGGGGGTGCAACAGGCGGGAGAAACTTCGTGTCTCGCAGTCGGTATCGGGGCGAGGGACCGCCGGGGATGTGGGTCGGGAGCGGCGCCGGCCCGTCGGGAGTGGGGGGCGCGAAGGGACCCGGCTGCTGCGGGACCCGGGGCTGCGGGGTGCGGCGGGGTTCCCGTCCTGCTCGACGCCAAACGCTGCCGCTTCCCTTGCAGAACCCCCAGTATGAAATCAAAGACAGCGCCGGCACGTTGCACTCGGGAATCGCGCAGCCCGCTACCTACTACTCCTACGATCATTCCTTGGGGCAGTACCAGTACGACAGGTAAAACCCCTTTGATCAGCGCCCGGCAGCATTAGCATCCCCCTGCGAGGCGGCGGTCGACATCAAACTAGGAGGACGGGGGGGCTCCGACCTGACAAACGCTGTACAAAAGAAACGAGGCGCCCGGGAGCAGCAAGACAGCGGAAAACAAAGTTGGGCGGCGATGTCAGGAGGGCAGGGGCAGGCAGGCAGATGGGCAGGGGCCACACCGGCCTGCGGCACGGCTGGGCCGGGCCAGCGGGCTCGTACTGGCCCCCTCTCCCTAATTATCTCCCAGCAGGTACGGGACGGTGGATTTCGGAGGTTCAGCCAGACGCAAAAATGCAACACGAGAGACGACGAGTACTCTCAAGACCTGGCTGTATGAGCACCGCAAAAACCCCTACCCCACCAAAGGAGAGAAAATCATGCTGGCTATCATCACTAAAATGACCCTGACGCAAGTGTCCACTTGGTTTGCTAACGCCAGACGGAGGCTTAAGAAAGAAAACAAAATGACCTGGTCTCCCAAGAACAAAGCCGGGGAAGAGAGGAAAGAAGAAACCCCGAGGGAAGAGGACGAATACAGTGCGGAGGGTGAAGGCAGAGGTAGGCGGGAGAGGCAGACGGGCGCCTCCAAGTAGGCTCGAAGTGACGGCCGATTTCGAGGTCCCCCACAACTTCCCCGCACCCGCACTAACGCCCTGCCGCCCCTTTTTTCCCCGTGTGTGTCCAAGCAGAGCAGAAGAGCTACAAGGAGGACAAGGACCTGCAGTTCAGCGACCTGGAGGAGGAGGAGGAGGAGGAAGAGGAGGAGGAGGAGGAGGCGGGGAAGCCGGAGAAGGGCCGGACCAGCTCCCTGCAGGAAGCCCCCAGCCTGGGCGCGGCGCTGCCTGAGGCTCCACGGAGCGACTGCAGCCTGCCCGGCCCCTTCCACGCCTTTCCTTGTGCCAAGGCCCCCGCCGCGGACTTCGCCGCCGCCTCCTTGGCCGGCCCGCCGCCGCCCTACGCGCCCGCGGAGAAGCCGCGCATCTGGTCGCTGGCGCGCACCGCCGGGGCCAGCGCGGCGCGCAGGGGCAGCCCCGAGGGCGGCGGCGCGGCGGGGGAGCAACCCCTGCCCGCCAAGGCCTTCCGGAGCTCCGCGTTCAACCTGCAGCCGCTCCCGCGAAGCTGCGCGTCCCACCGCGGCCTGGGGGAGCCGTGCCAGTTCGCGGCGGCGGGCGAAGGTACCCGCGGCGGCGGGGCCGCGGGGACGGGCGGGACCGCGGGCCGGGCCGGGGCGCAGGGCGCGGCGTGAGCCCGCCCGCGCAGTGACACGCCCGGCGTTCGGCCGTGCCCAGGTGTCAGGTGCAGACGCCGAGGCTTCCCCGCTCGAGGCGAGCGGGCAGGGGAGGGCGGTGGGACCGGGCCGTGCCCACCGCGAGTCGCTTGTGTCTGTGCAGGCTTCGGGCGGGGCGCCAAGGGCAGCCCGGGAGGCACCGAGCTGGGTGGGACCTGCCTGGAAAGGCTGCGGACGGCGTTCCGGCCCGTGCTGCGGAGGTGAGGTAGGTGACGGGCCGGTTCCGGGGCCGCACCTCGCACGAAGCGCACGCCAGCCCGCCTGGCCCTGGACACAGGAGCGGCCCCGGCCTGAGAGCGCTGCGCCGGGGCCGCCGCTTTGCCCCGCTCCCGGAGCTCCCGTCCGGGCGGGACAGCAACCCGCGGCCACTTAGCACCAGCTGATCACCGCTTCTCCGTCCCGCAGGGCCGCCCGCCCCTTCCTGGGCGCTGGCGACGGGGCTCTGGCTGCAAGGAAGCACTCGGCTTGACGCAGCGATAGAAACCTCTACCCGGGCCGGCGGTGGCCTCGCGGCTCCGCCTGCCCTGCCCTCGCCGGGGAAGGGCCGCCGCGGCACAACGTGCTGCGCACATGGGGCCGGGGGCCACGGCGGGCAGAGCGGCCGCAGGACCGGCGCCTCTCCGCCGCTCGGCTGCCATGTGTTCAATATTGCCCATTGACGTCTTTGCAAAAAGGAAGAAAAACCCCCCACCCTAATATTTTCTCTTTTCCTCCAACGTCGTGGTTTGTTTCTCCTTTTCCTCCCAAACCTGTGCTCTCTGCTCAGCGCCCTGCTCTGCCAAGGGGCACCAGTTTGCTGCGCGCCATCCCGGGGAGGAGAAGGAGGGGAAGTGGCGCAGGTTACGCCGGACTGTTTCTTTCCCGTCTCTGTACCTAGATACCGCTGAAAGTATTTTTCGGAGTCTCTAATTAACACGGGTGAGCTGAACGCCACGAAGCTGTCAGTGACCTCGGAGCTCTCCAGCCAGGAGCCGGCACAGCCCAAGAGGAGCGGCCCCGGGCACCCGCCACCCGCCCTGGGGCACGGCCGGGGCACCCCTGGGCAGCGGGTGGCGACCGGGCGGCGAAGTAGGACGTTGTTAGTGGGTCACTGCCGTCAGTCAGTCAAAAGAGCAGTGCTGCACTTTACAGGACAGGCGAGAAAGGGAAACCGTATCTCTGCATTATTTCTGTTTAATTAAAAGTGTCATCAAACACTTTGTGTTCGGACTAATAAACCAAGCAGGGATGAGGAAAGAATGTTTCTTTGTTCCTGTCTCTAGAAGCAGTGGCAATAATTTAAATTAATAACTGTGGTAATTAAGAGGTCATCTATAGATCAACCCGATACCTGCTATTTCCAAGTTCACCGGGGTCAGCATTTACATTAAGTCATTTGTGGTCAATAGAGTCCAATGAATTCTGCCTTAATAAATCAGGGAAATCAATCTTGAATATCGAGTAGACTTCTATATGTTTACTAAAGGCTACTCAAACGAGTGGAGCTGCATAACTGGGAGCCCCCTGGGTTTGCGACCGGAGAAGCAATTCATAGGGGAAAGGAGACGCTGCAGGTCAACGCAAGGGAGATATGAGGGGTTGCTGCCGCCTTCGGCCCCGGTAACAGCCGCGGCCCCTCCCGGGAGCAGAGGGCACCGTGAAAGAAGGCAAACTTCGCCGGGCTTTGGAGGATCGGGAGGGCGAGAGAGGGGGAGGTTAGTGCACACAAGGGCAGCAGGTGACGGCTGGGAGCGGGGCTGGGCCCGTCGGGAGCCCCGCCGCAGATGCCCGGCCACAGGGATTGCCCGCGCTCCGGAGCTGCCCTGGACAAGAGGCGGTGTAGCAGCAGCAGTCTCTTGCAGTGACCCGAAGCTTAGAGAAGGGGAAATTAAGCTGCGAAAAAATAAACATTATTTCAAGTCGGATTTGAAGGATTAGGGCTTGTAATAAAGAGTATTAGTCCCTTTCGAAGGGTTCTTGCGAGGCAACTTTTCCGCCCACCGGAGAGGACAGGTATTATCTGCCTTGGGAGCACATGTGCAGGATTCCCACGCGTGTCCGCCCGGCAGAGCCAGGCCGGACCTCCCTCCTGGCTGTGTCCCGTCCTGCAGGGGAGCGACCCGGCTTCCTCCGGTTCCGTTCCCCGGCGGCTTTGTTAGAGGCTCCCCGGGGAGGCAGCTCTGCATCGCACTCCTGAGCTGCTCACGGGAGACGGAACCTGCCCGGCTCCGCGGCCCAGGAGCTGCCGGCTCTGCCCCCGGCCCTGGAATCCCTCGGCTCTGCCCCCGGCCCTTGAATCCCTCGGCTCTGCCCCCGGCCCTGGAATCCCTCGGCTCTGCCCCCGGCCCTGGAATCCCTCGGCCGCGAAGCCCGCGGGGGGAGTTAATTAGGCGGGTGCAGGCCTCGGGGTCTCTTTAAGGCAGGCGCGAAGGTACCCTGCAGGAGTCTTAAGAGTTTTATTTTTTATTTATTACTTTTACTCCCCTTTTATTAAAGGTCAAGTGAGCGAGATGCAGATTATCCCGCCCGCTCAGGACTCTCCTGCAATCTGTCACGCCGGCAAGATATGTATCGCAAATCTCTCAAAATATAATCTCCGGGAATCATATTCCGAATACTGTTTTGATTAAAAACCAGAGCGGGGATTGATGGAGAACTAATACCGGGAGCGGAGCCTGCGTGTGCCCAGGCACAAAACTAAAATAACGGGCTCGCACGAACAGATTCAGAGCCTCCAATGCCATAATAAACGTATTTAAACCGTCTCTGTCTGAGCTTTGCTACGAGATGGGCTTTTTAATGCCGCTTCTCTGGGAATTGAACTCGGGTTGTCCGGCGGAGCGGGGGCAGCTGGGCTCTGCCAGGTGGGCACTCGGAGCCCGCTGCTCGGGGAGATGGGGCCGGTGCGGGGTGCCTTGGGCCCGGTGTGGGGTGCTTTGGGCGTGGTGCGGGGTGCCATGGGCTCGGTGCAGAATGTCCTGGGCCCGGTGCGGGGTGCCCTGGGCGCGGTGCGGGGTGACCTGGGCGCGGTGCGGCGTGCCCTGGGCTCGGTGCAGGGTGCCCTGGGCTCGGTGCGGGATGTCCTGGGCCCGGTGCGGGGTGCCCTGGGCCCGGTGCGGGGTGCCCTGGGCTCGGTGCGGGGTGCCCTGGGGCCGGTGCGGGGTGCCCTGGGCTCGGTGCAGGGTGCCCTGGACTCGGTGCGGGGTGCCCTGGGCGCGGTGCGGGGTGCCCTGGGGCCGGTGCGGGGTGCCCTGGGCTCGGTGCGGGGTGCCATGGAGCTGGTGCGGGGTGCCCTGGACTCGGTGCGGGGTGCCCTGGGGCCGGTGCGGGGTGCCCTGGGCTCGGTGCGGGGTGCCCTGGGCTCGGCCCGCCTCAGCCCGCCCGGGCGGTTCGCAAGCCGGGCGCGCAAGGTGAAGCCTCCGCGGAGCCGGGGGACCGCCGTAGGCAGCGCTCACCCACACCGCCACCCCCTCCCAGCACCCCACTTGTCCCGGGAGGGCCGGGTGTCCCCCTTGCCGCAGCCCTTGGGGACGCGCTGGCACCGGCTGCCGCAGCCCCGCAGCCCCGCATCGCCCCCCAATTAGCGCCGCGGGGGCGGGCGGGGCGGCTCGCTGTCGCGTCCCCCGCTGGGGTGGGAAGTTTCTAAAACAAAGTCGCCGGGCTAATGGCCCCGGGCGGGAGCGGCGGGGCCGCGCACACTCCACTGCGCCCGCTCAAAGCCAGCGCGACCGCGGGGCCGCCGCCGCCTCCGCCGCGCTCGCTAATGAAGTTTTGTCAAAGACAATTACGGGCCCGGCGGGGGCAGGAGGCCGCGATGAAAAGGCGGCTTTGTGCGGCCGAGACGGCGCGGCTCCCCGGCCACCCCGGCCCTTCCTGCGCCCCCGCGGTGACCCCCGCGCCCGGCCCCGCTCCCCGCGGGGCAGCGGCCCTGCTGCCCGCCCCAGGTAAGCGCAGAGACGGGCCGGTGCCGGACTCAGCCCCCCGGAGCTGCAGTTTATCAGCCCGATCCACCGACGACCGCAGCAAGACCCGGAAAGCGAGGGCTGAGGCAGCGGGCAGCCCCTGCTCCCTCCGCACACCGCTGGCTGAGGGTTTCGGGCCCCTCTTACCCCTCATAGGGGCTGCTGCAGAGGAGTCCTGCTTCAGCGTTGTTGCATTCAGCAACTGGGAGAATTCATCCAAAACCTGCCAAACGAGCTGGCCAAATCTGTTTAAATATACACTGGAGAGACATGAAACTGGGGTCTTGGACTGCAGCTGCCTTCAACCTGCATGTAGCCGAGGAGATGGGGGAGAGCAGGACAATAACCATCCTTCATCACCTTCCCCAAACTCCCAGCACTGGCTGCTATCCTCTGTCTCAGGTCCTTGGTCACCTCACCTCCCTGCCATCCCCAGCCAACGTGGGCAGTACAAAATACGCTGACACTCTCCTAGAGAGGACAGGGAACCATTTCTGAGTCATGAGGAAGTCTGGACAATACACATGACCAGCTAGGTTGCTTCCCAACCTTTGAAGCACAGACCTCCTTTTAGGAATATATAAGAGAGGCAAAAACTCCTTTTACTGCTGCACAAGCATATGAGGAGAATGGTCCTGGCACTGAAATGGTCTAGACCCTCACCCCCAGCCAGCTGGTACTTGACTGTTGTCCTGTTCCCCTACAGGTTTCCCATCCCACAATAAAAGGATGAGTTTTACTGCCTTTGCAGCAACAAACCCCTTGAAGATCCCTTTTCAAAGGTGGCTACCACAGAAGTTTTAGCTTGATGTGGCTATTGAGGTTATGGAGCAGTGGGTTGGAGCAATTAGTTCAAAATGATCTCAAAAACTGCACAAGCAGCTGCCCAGGCCAGGTGTCATTTCAGGATCAAAGCATCTGTTGGAGGAAAATTATTTTTGCCATTGTATTGCTTCTTTTTTTTTTTTTTTTTTTTTTTTTTTTTTTTTTTTTTTTTTTTTTTTTTTTTTTTTTTTTTTTTTTTTTTTTTTAATTTTTTTTACCTACTGTTCATCTGAAAATAAATTACAGGCCAGAACAGGTGGATAACATTCTGGAATGATTTAATGATTTATTTAATCTGGATTCTCTTTCAATCTACTTAGCAGGACGAATACTATTTTTTTTAGCCTGAATCCAAAAGCCTGTCTTTTCATCTAAAGAAGAGAAAATACCCTAAAACACTAATTCTGCTCTGCTGCTGTCAAGGTGTACTCCCCACAC